AATCATCCATGTCCAGAAGAAGCAAATCTACACGAGTCTCAAGACCTCCAATCACCACTATACATGAACAATAGATGCGATCCACCATAATAGAATCACCCACCGGCGTAGACACATAAACAGGGGCACTCAAAGAATTACTAAGCATGACCAGATACGGCGCAAAATAAAATCGAAGCTTCTCTACCACAAACCAGAACAGTACCTGCACCTCCACCTCTAATACCTTTACCTCCACCTCTAGCATCTCTACCTCTACCTCTAATACCTCTACCTCCACATCTAGCTAACTGAGCGGGCTAGACGAGTCCCTCAATGAACCTCCTCACTCTCTCTCACAGTGGGAAGTATGATAAGAGCATGACGAGCCAAGTCTCTCGTACTGAGTGACAGTCATAGAACCCTGTTGGAGACGCTCAAACTGCCTCCGATAGGCCTCTCTCTGAGTGATGGGGAGAAACTTCTCCAGAAATAGCTGGGTAAATTGCTCCCAAGTCAAAGCTGGCGATCCGCCTGGTCCAGCCAAACAATAATCCCTCCATCAAGTCTTGGCGGATCCAGACAAGCGAAAAGTGGCAAAATCGACCCCATTGGTCTCAACTATCCCCATGTTCCTGGGAACCTCGTGACAGCTGCCTAGATAATCCTGGGGATCCTCAGTAGATGCACCGCTGAAAGTAGTATTGAAGAGCTTGGTGAAACTTACCCAACCTCCACAAAGCCTCCGAAGACGTAGCTGACCTATCACCGGTATTGCTGCTCGGCTGAAGAAGCGGTACATGACCTCGCCATTCGCGAAAGGACAAGAGTAGAGGTTTCAATTTAGCATTGAGAGAACAAAATCGCACGACAGGAAAGAATGAATGTGAAGTTTTTCCTATCTCTGTAGCCTCTGAGGGATAAATACAGACGTTTCCGTACCGATCCCTCAGACTCTACTAAGCTTGTCTGTGAACTGTGAGACCCATGTAACCTAGAGCTCTGATACCAACTTGTCACGACCCGGATTCCCACCCTCGGGAGTCGTGATGGCGCCTACTAGTACGAGCTAGGCAATCCAATTAATTACACAATTTACCCTTTTTTTTTTATTTTTTTTCCTCATTTTATGTTCATTAGCAATTCTAATAATAATAATAACATTTAAACAGCGGAATTTAACATAAGCGGAAGAAAGAAGCCATAAGCTAACTGAACACAAATATCTAATACAACTGTTTGAACCTCGACTACCCAGAACTGGTGTCATAGTATCACAGACGGTCTAAGAATACTACAAATAAAGGTCTGAAAGAAATAAATACAACACTGTCTCTGGAAATACATGAAAGAAACAGGAATAGTAGATGGAAGGAGACGCCAAGGCCTACGAACGCTTGCAGGACTACCTCGGGTCGCCTGATGAACAAGAATCAGCAATCCCACTGCGGTCCAAAGTCTACAACACTGGGGTCTACTTGTCATGACCCGGATTCCCACCCTCGGGAGTCGTGATGGCGCCTACTAGTACGAGCTAGCCAAGCCAATTAATTTCACAATTTACCCTTTTTTTCCCTCGTTTTATATTCATTAGCAATTCTAATAATAATAATAACATTTAAACAACGTAATTTAACATAAGCGGAAGAAAGAAGCCATAAGCTAACTGAACACGAATATCTAATACAACTGTTTGAACCTCGACTACCCAGAACTGGTGTCACAGTATCACAGACGGTCTAAGAATACTACAGATAAAGGTCTAAAAGAAATAAATACAACACTGTCTCTGGAAATACATGAAAGAAACAGGAATAGTAGATGGAAGGAGACGCCATGGCCTACGGACGCCTGCAGGACTACCTCGGGTCGCCTGATGAACAAGAATCAGCAATCCCACTGTGATCCAAAGTCAACAACACTGGGGTCTGCACAAAAGAGTGCAGAGTGTAGTATCAACACAACCGACCCCATGTGCTGGTAAGTGTCTAGCCTAACCTCGGCTAAGTAGTGACGAGGCTAGGACCAGACTACCAAATAAACCTGTGCAGTTGTATAATATACAGCGGAAAGTAAAGCAGAAATAAACAAGTAAGGATGGGAGGGGGAAACATGCTTCGGGGAATGACAGGTAGAAACAAAATATCAAGAGAACTATAAAGGAATCAAAATCAAACCACTAATAAGAATGAGGAAAACAAAGGCAGATTTCACTTTCTTTTCACATCTTGTTGCAGGCGTGCAACCCGATCCCAGTTCACATATCTTGTGGTAGGCGTGCCACCCGCTCCTATTTCATTATATCTCGTGGTAGGCGTACCGCCCTATCCCATTTCACTATATCTCGTGGTAGGCGTACCACCCGATCCCATTTCATTATATCTCGTGGTAGGTGTACCACCCGCTCCCAATTTATTAAATCTCGTGGTAGGCGTACCACCCGCTCCCATTTTATTATATCTTGTGGTAGGCATACCACTCGCTCCCATTTCATTAAATCTCATGGTAGGCGTACCACCCACACCCATTTCATTAAATCTTGTGGCAGGCGTACCACCCGCTCCCATTTCATTAAATCATGTGGTAGGCGTACCACCCGCTCCCATTTACAAGCCAACACAACATCACAAGGAATCCCGGCAAGGGAACAAAAGCAACATAATAACTCCCCGATAAGGGAACAACAATATCAAGACAAACATCCCGGCAAGGGAGAATCAGCTATAACCAATCCTAACTCAACTCCTACTCAGCTATACCTAATCTTGTTCCAACATCTAACTACCTCAGCTATAACCATAATCCTTACCTAACACAAAGAATCATCAACCTAAGTATCCGTAATATCAATTAAGAACACAATGCAAGGGAACCACAACTCAACAATAGCCCGGCAAGGGGGCAACATAATGATGTCTTCTCTTTCTCACTTTTACTTCACAATTCCCTTCACAAATCGAGCCACTGCTCTAGAGGTTCAATTATCACCTATACTTTCACAATTCGTTATACAACTGGAGCCAACGCTCCTCAATGTTCATAGGTCACAATTCTTTTCACAACTTTACACAACAAATAGAAATTTTCACCAAGGCATGAATAATACAACGAATTCCTGGAAATCACAATATAAGACTCACAGTCATGCTCGATACCAACGTATAGATACTCGTCACCATGCCTATATGTCGTACTCAACAAGAAACAAATAGCAAATAGGACAAAACTCCTAATCTCTCAAGCTAAGGTTAGACCAAACACTTACCTCGAACTTCCATGGCCAACTCAAGCCTCAAACACCGCTTTCCCTTTTGAATTTAGCTCCAAATCAATTGTATCTAGACATAATCGACTTAATAACGTCAATAAACGCTAAACAATCTAATTCCAATGTTTAATTATAGCTTTCTAATCATTCTTCCCAAAAATCCAAAAATTGACCCCGGGCCAGCTTGGTGAAAACACGAGGTTCGAATCAAAACCTGATAGCCCATTCACCCACGAGCCCGAATATATAATTTGTTTTGAAATCCGACCCCAAAACGAGGTCAAATTCCCAACTAATCAAAAAGCCCTAACTTTACCCAAATCCCCAATTTTCTACCCTTAATCTCATGTTTTTAGGCCTATAATCTAATAGATGTTGATGAAAATGGAAGAAAACAAGTTAAAGATTTGTTACCTAAGAGATTATGGTGAGGAAGTGCTTCAAAAATCGCCTAAGAGCTTTGGAGAAGAAGGGGTTTATGAAAAATGGCCAATTCCCCGTAATGCATTCTGTTTTTGAGCTTAAATAACTGGGCGGATTTTTGTTCTATGAGATCGCGAAGAAAGGAATGCGATCGCATAGAGTAAGGGAAATTAGTCACTGCGATCGCGGAAGAATCAATGTGATCGCATAGAACAAATTGTGACCTCCCAAAATTTATTCTATGCGATTGCGGAAGAATCAATGCGATCGCATAGAACAAATTGTGACCTCCCAAAATTTACTCTATGCGATCGCGGAAGAATCAATGCGATCGCATAGAACAAATTGATGACTACCCAAATTAACTCTATGCGATCGCGGAAGAATCAATGCGATCGCATAGAACAAATTCATGACTACCAAAATTAAATCTATGCGATCGCGGACATTCCTATGTGATCGCATAGAACAAAAACCTGGACACTAGCAACCAGCAAAAACACCAGATTTTCTAAGTCCAAAAACGCTCTGACGCCTATCCGAAACTCACCCGAGCCCTCGGGGCTCCAAACAAAACATACATACTAACTCAAAAATATCATATGAACTTATTCGTGCGATCAAACCGCCAAAATAACATCATGAACATCGAATTAAACCTCAAAATCAAAGAATTATTCCAAACTTCTTAAAACATCAATTTTAGCAATTTATGTCCGAATCACGTCAAATGACATCCGTTTTTCACCAAATTCCACAGAAACGTCTAATATTATATATAAGACCTGTACCGGGCGCCGGAACCAAAATACGGGCCCGATACCATCATGTTCTAATCAAATTTCATTTCAAATTCCTTTAAACAATTTCAGAAAATAATTTTCTTTTAAAATTCATTTCTCGGGCTTGGGACCTCGGAATCCGATTCCGGGCATACGCCCAAGTCCCATATTTTCCTACGGACCCTCCAGGACTGTCAAATCACGGGTCCGGGTCTGTTTACCAAAACGTTGACCGAAGTCAAATTTATTCATTTTACAGTCAAAATTTATTATTTTTCACAGATTTTCACACATAAGCTTTTCCGGTTTCGCGTCCGGACTGCGCACGCAAATCGAGGTGATGATAAATGAAGTTTTCAAGGCCTCGGACACATAGAATTCAATTTTAAGACAAGTGATGACCTTTTGGGTCATCACATGGACGAAATATATAACAATTACCAAAGATACCCACCAATGACTTTGTCATTTTCCTAGTCTAAAAATCCTTGCTCCCAGGATAGGCATCTTCCACATCATTATATGTGCGCATCTTAACAAGTGTGAAACAAAGCAAACGCCCCCTAAAAAAAAAGGCAAATGGCCCTTCCAAATTCTTGTTTCTTGCCACTTCTAGCACTGCCACTTCTCTACTGGGGTTTCAACTTGCTCAAGCGTCAGCCAAAAGAAACAAAACTAGTGTTTTATGTCCACGACTATTTAAGTGGGCATGACACATCTGCAATCACTGTAGCAGGAAAAGATGGGCCTCAAACTAGTGTTCTTCATTTTGGGACAATGGTTGCAGTGGATGATCCAGTAACTGAAGGTCCAGATCCAAAGTCCAAAGAGATCGGTAGAGCTCAAGGCATGTACATCAATTCACAGTTAGATGGCAAGGGACTGTACTTGATGTTTTCTGTTATTTTCACTGATGGGGAATTCAAAGGGAGTACTTTGGAGATTCAAGGTGCTGATCTTTTTGCAATGAAGGAGAGGGAATTCTCTATTGTTTCAGGGACTGGTTTTTTTAGATTTGTTAAAGGTTATGGCATTATGACAACTCACTTTATTGATATTCCTAATCTCAGAGCCATTCTTAAGCTTCATGTTACTGTAAAGCACTATTGACTTTTCCTAGTTTATGTCAAAGTTTTGATGTATTCTGCCTCTTTTCCTAGAATCAAATTCGATGCTACTTTTTTCTACTTACTGAAATAAAATAAAAAAGTTTTCCTAAATGATCGATGTGAACATTCGTATATGATGACTTGTTTATCCAAGTTAAAATTTTCGCCCTATCAAGAAATTTAGGGCTTTGAACAAAGACTTATGTTTATGTATAATGTATATAGTGTTAAAATTACCTGATAGGCTACTGTAAAGACAACGACAAGTTATTACGGCATTAGTTTAAATAAAAAACCCAAAAACAAATAGGAGACAGAGAAAAATTAATTAATATTTGTTACCGAACACATGTAATACCCTTGTTGTATCATAAGCCGGAAACGAAGAGCAAGAAAGTAAAGGTTTTCAATTAAACTATGTTAGGACGAATCAAAGATGTGTCAGTATCAAAATAGTATGTTATTTCTGATCATTGGAGTGTGTCGACGAAAACAAGTTTTAATGAAACTTAAAAGGCCAAATATGTGTACGATCCCTTAAATTTTACTCCAATTTCTATTTTGACGTCATAAGTAAGGATATTACGAATACTCCAACTCAAATCAAAGTGTACATATTAAACCCCAAAAACATAGTCCAAAAAAAACAAAAAAAAAAAAAACAAATGTGTGAAGCTCAAACGCCAGTTGCGTGGAAATATAACCACTGAAAAAATGCCATATCATTAAAACAAGCCACGTCTGTAAAAAAAAAAAAACCATACTATTATTTCTTTTTGTTGTAAATAATAGCCCGTTTGGCCAAGCTGCAAAAATCAGCTTATTTTGAGAAGTGTTTTTTCTCAAAAGTGTTTTTCTCACAAGTACTTTTGGTGAGAAGCAGTTTGTGTTTGACAAATGGATTTCAAAAGTACTTCTGAGCAGCAATTAGTGTTTGGCCAAGCTTTAAAAAACTGCTTTTAAGTGTATTTTTCTCAAAAGTGCTTTTCAAAAAAGTGCTTTTGGAAAGAAGCTATTTTTTTCTGCTTCTCCTCAAAAACACTTTTTTTCCTTTCAAAAGTTTGGCCAAAAACCTTAATTTTAGAAAAAAAACACTTTTGAGCAAAAAAAAAAGTGCTTCTGCCTCAAAAGAAGCTTGGCCAAACAGGCTATAAGCAACTTGGATTACTAACTGCTGGCCGTTGTACCCCTTACTCGTTGGCGGCCAGGCCGGCTGAAGGGCCAAGCAGCTAAATCCATGGCTTTAGGCCCCCAATTCTTTGGGGCCCCATTTTTTAAATTATGTATTGTATGTTTGATTTTCTTTCAAAAATATTGAATAATATAAGGTAAAAAGTATAAAATATATATAGAAGATAGAATAGATAACTATTTACTCAAGGAGTGATAATGAATGTTGGTTAATTTAAGTATGACATTAATATTGTCTTCTCCCTTTTTTTTTTTTTATAATAAAACTTATACTTTTTTTCTTCTTCTCCTACACCACTATTTATTCTCAAAAAAACAAGGACACGGACATTGAATAAATTAAATTGTACATTCATTGTCATTATTATTTCTAAAGTTTTCAAGCACGCACAATAACAATCAAAACTAACTGAAGCAGCGAAACTTTGCTTTGCATTTTTTGTTTGTTTTCATTTCATAGATGTAAATTGTTTTTTTTTCATTTATATATTACGATTCAAATATGTCAATAAAAATAAAGTTACTCAACTTAAAAAAGATTATTATTGAAACTTTATGTAACGTCCCGACCGGTCGTTTTGAGCATTTGCACTTCGCTCGCCAGTTCTTGGGCATGACTAGCCCCGTATGATGTGTTATGACTTATGTAAATCGTCAGTTTTGGTTTCTAGGTTAATCAGAACAGATATGGAAGAATGATTCTCAACATGAAGCTTTAAATTTGAAAGGTTTGACCAAGTTTTGACTTTTTAGTATTCGATCTCGGATTTGAATTTTTATTATTTGGTTAGCTCCGTTAGGTGATTTTGGACATGGGAGCGCGTCCGGAATGTGATTTGGAGGTCCGTGGTAGATTTAGGCTTGAATTGGCGAAATTGGAAATTTGGCATTTCTCGGTCGGCAGTGGAAATTTTGATATCTGGGTCGGAATAGAATTCTAGAAATTTGAGTAGGTCCGTAGTGTCATTGGTGTCGTGTGTGCAAAATTTCAGGTCATTCGGGCGAGGTTTGATGGGTTTCAGCATCGTTTGTGGAATTCGGAAGTTTAAGAGTTCTTAAGCTTGAATCCGAGGGTGATTTGGTGTTTTGATGTTGTTTGGAGTGTTCCGAAGGTTTGAATAAGTCTGAATAGTGGTATATGATTTGTTGGTATTTTTGGTTGAGGTCCCGAGGGCCTCGGGATGAATTCGGATGGTTAACGGAAATGTTGGAAATTGGTTTGAGCAGCTGAAGCTGTTGTTTCTGTTATTTCCGCACCTGCGGATTGGGGTCCGCAGGTGTGAGGTCCGCAGAAGCGGAAATGGACCGCAGAAGCGGAGAAGGACCGCAGGAGCGGATGTTGGACCGCATCCGCGAGCCCGCAGGTGCGAGGCCTGGGGCGCAGGTGCGAAAGCTGGGGATTTAAGTGAAAGGCGCAGATGTGGCGTTTGGACCGCAGGTGCGGTCCCGCAAGTGCGTGATTTTGGCCGCAGATGCGGAAAACGCTGGGCAGAAAGTATAAAAGGTCTCCTTCGCGAATTTTGCCTAATTCCTCCATTTTTTAAGACAGGTTTTGAGCTTTGGGCAGTGATTCTTCAAGAGGAATCAAGGGTTATCAGTTGGGTAAGCTACTTAAGCTTTATTACTTATGTTTATGATGATTTTCTCATTGTTTAATCATAGTATTAGTAGGAATTAGGAGTGAGATTTAGGGGATTAGGGCTTGAGTTTTGGAGAGTTTTGATCGAGGATTTGAAGGACCATTTGAGGTTGGATTTTGACGATTTTGGTATGTATAGACTCGTGAGTAGAAGGAGTTTCTAGTTTTGTGATTTTTTTCGGATTCCAAGACGTGGGCCGGGGGGCCGGGTTTGGGTGAAATTTGGGATTTTGGATTGAATTGATAGTTTTTCGTTTGTAATTGATTCCTTGGCATATGTTGATTGCGTTGTAATGCTTTTGGTTAGATTCGGGATGTTTGGAGGCCGATTCCAGAGGCAAAGGCGTAGCGGAGTAGGATTTGGCTTGTTTTGAGGTAAGTAACGCTTCCAAACTTGGTTATGAGGATTCGAAACCCCGAACTATGTGTTATATGATTAAATATTGAGGTGAAGCGAATGCCAAGTGACGGGCGTGTGGGCGTGCACCGTGGGAACTGCGGCATGGATCATTTCATGGCACCGCTTAGTGACTCTTTCTTACTGATATCTGTGATGTGATTGTGTGATTAAGTTAATGAGCTATAAATTATGCTAATTACCATGTTAGGGTTTCACGCCGATACTGTTGAGACCCGAGTGGTCGTTTCTTGCTGTCATCTCATTAGTTTCACTGATATTCTACACTCAGTCTTGTTCGTGCATATCATATCATGTCTCAGTCTCGGTTGTAATTATTTGGCATAACATATCATTGTTTCGGGCTATTTTCATGGCGTTGTGAGCTTGTGTGTGTGATACTTGAGAATGACGACTGAGTGGGGCCGAGAGCCTGATTATGAGTGACAACTATGGGATCGGGCTGCACGCCGCAGCATATTATTGATTATGCCTTCGTTGGCCTGTTATAGCGCATGGGCTGGAAGGAGCCCCTCCGGATTCTTCACACCCCTAGTGAGCGCAGTTGATATTATTGAGGGATGGATTTCCCTGGACATGGATTTGTCCGAAGTATTGATATATGGAGATGGATTTCTCCACAGTGATGGATTTCTAGACATGGATTTATCCGAAGTATTGATATATTGAGATGGATTTCTCCACAGGGATGGACTTCCCTTTTTCCTCGGTACCGAGTGACGTCTAGTCATTGTTGAGTATGTTCTGGGATGGATTTCCCTGGGCCGGACGGCCATATGCGGTACCAATATACCTGGAGATGGATTTCTCCTCAGGGTTGGATTACCCTTATTCCTCGGTACTGGATGACTTGCAGTCAGCGTTGTATATGTTTCGGGATGGATTTCCCTGGGCCGGATGGCCATATGAAGTACCGAGTGGTTGAGCACTTGAGAGTGGGAGCACACGGTGCATTTTCATACATTTCTGGCATTGACATGTAGATATTTGCTGAGCTTTATACTTCACATTGTTCGGATTGGTATTTTGCTTTACTGTTGAGTTGAATAACTGAATTGCCAAAATGCTTACGTTACTGTACAATTTAAATGTGATATAACTGCTGAGGTTTAGTCCGTCACTACCTATCAGTCCAAAGGTTGGACTTGTTACTTACTGAGTTGGTGTACTCACATTACCCCCTGCACCTTGTGTGCAGATCCAGGTGCTTTCGGTCCAGGTAGCAGTCACTGATCGAGGTTGCAGGCTTGGGAGATTGTTGAGGTATCTGCATGGCGCTCGCAGATCTTGACCCTCCCTCTCAATTCTAGTTGTGTTTCAGTTGTATTCAGTGAACTTTGTAGTAGACTATACTATTTCTCTAGACGCTCATATACTCCGTGACACCCTGGTTTTGGGATGGTTGTATCGTAATATGAACCTTTCTTTTATGTCTTAAACAATTTATATAAAATGATGAAAGTTTTTCCGCAAATGATTTTATTTTAGTATTGTGGTTTTGGGTTGTGTTGAGTTGAGGCTGGCCTAGTTCCACGATAGGCGCCATCACGAAGGGATGAGTTTTGGATCGTGACAAGTTGGTATCAGAGCCTAGGTTACATAGGTCTCACGAGTCATGAGCGGGTTTAGTAGAGTCTTGCAAATCAGTACGGAGACGTCTGTACTTATCCTCGAGAGGCTACAGAACCTTTAGGAAATTCCACACTCTTGAATTCTTATCGTGCGTCATTGGTTCAGCTTGAAGCGTAACTCTTTGAATTCCTTCCACGCGTTCGTATGTGCGCATGAGCGCTCGGTATTAGCTGTGAATCGACGACTTGTGATCCCTTGAACGAGGGGCGAGATGTGATTTTTGTGTGTTCATGTTGGGCCAATTTGGAGGACTT